AGGAAGAGCTGTTGCTGCACCCGGAGGACGCCGAGGGCAAGGACGGCGAGGACAGCGTGTGCCTGTCGGCGGGCAGCGACTCAGAGGAGGGGCTGCTGAAGCGCAAACAGAGGCGCTACCGCACCACGTTCACCAGCTACCAGCTGGAGGAACTGGAGCGGGCCTTCCAGAAGACTCACTACCCGGACGTCTTCACCAGGTATGTGGCCCGGGTGGTGGCTGCGCACAGCACCGGCCGAAGGGCCCATGAGGGCGGAATAGAGGGGGGATGCTTGGCCAAATATGATCCTTTGGCTCCCCGTGTGTGTACACACACACACACACACACACACACACACACACACACACACACACACACACTTTAAGTTGGTGTGGTTTCTTTCTGTCCCAAAGCCCTTCTGCTTTGTTTCCAAATGGCAAGTTTTAGAGCCAAACAGCCTCTCCAAAGAGCACCCAAAGCAACCACATTGGGCAGGCACACGCGACTGCTCCCAGTGCTGAGGCCGGGGCCAGGTGCTGGCCAGGCACAAGACCCACTTGTCCCCCTTTCGGTAGGAGAGCAGGCGCTATTTTTGATCCGTGTACTGTGCGCTGCCCGGTGGCCCAGGAGTCTAGTGGGTATCAGTTACGTTGTTCTCAGGAAAACTGGAGCCCCTGCCTTCGGAGAAGATCTTTAAAAAGATCTGAGTTTTTTTTTTTGTCACTTGGGGACTCCTGAAACAACCAAAGAAGTCGGAACTAAGCAGTGGTTGGTGTCTCTGTGCACCAGAAACCAGCCAGAACATCCCCCTGTGGTCCCGGTCTTCACCATGCCCACTACATAACTTTACTGTAAACGGGTTGATGGGGTGGACCACGATTTCTGGACACGTGGCAGTTAGTAAACCAAGCAGCTGGAGTGGGGGTGGGAACAGGACTGTGTCTCATGGACTAGTGTCCACTGAACTTCCCAATCTGAGAAACTTGGACCGGTGGGGTAGCTGAGCCTCGGAGCCCCTGCTCATTCAGCCGACCTGGGAGTACCAGCAGGCTTGGAGCCTTTCCCACCCCAAGTCCAAGATTTTGGCTCAGACTAGGAGCCAGGACTGGGGGCAAATGTGAGAAGAAAGAAAGAGACGGGTCCCCCAGTGAGAACAGAGAATGAGACCTGTGAGTGCCTGGCTCGCGCGCTCCTCAAACCCGGCAGTTCCTTCGCAGGAGACGTGTGCAGCTTTTCAATGTGCATTTTCGACGGGGAAAGCTGCCTGTCCTTTTGAACCAGAGAAATCTCTGCTTAGAATCAAGGCCTGAGCCAACTCCAAAACATAGTTGGTCTGGCAGTTGCCAAACTCTTGTAGCCAGAAGCAACCAAAAAGTAAATTTAATACAGGCAAGTGCACACTGAAACTTGGTCCTTCTCAGTGTCACTCAGCCTTTCCCTTGTTTTGAAGACAGAAATAAAACTCCAAGTCAGCGTGTGCTATCACATAGCTGACTGGACCACCGGCTTTGATTTTATTTTATTTTATTTTTGCGTTTATCCGACATGCGTACTTAAAAAGGAGAAAAAAAAAAAAGACAGTGTCGCTTAGCATCCACGTCCGCCCTTTTTAGCTTGTCGGGGAGACTAAAGTACAAGACCTGGGCCGTTTCTCTTCCTCGCCCCACCCCCATCTCCTTCCAGCTCAGCAGGCCTAGCTCACGGTCTATAGCCCAGCCAGGCTAGAGGGGAGTTCAGATTTGCTGGTGCTCTCCGAAAAGGGGAGGGGGTGGGACGAGTGTTCAAAAGAAGGTGTTTAGTGAACTGATCTTTCTTTCCCTCGTGCTGAGGAAGTTTCAGGGGCCGACCCGATCCTGTGGGCAGCGCAGACTCAGGCCCAGGCTTGGGCAGCTCCACTCCTTCATATTAGGGAGTAGAGAGCCAATTATTCTCGGCGCGCTCATATTTTCGGTAAACAGGTCGTAAGCCGTTTTATAGCATCTTAATGGTTTCCTATTTGCCTTAATTGTCGCAGTAATAACTGCAATAACGGGGTAGGGTTTCAGCTAAATTGACTTCCCCTGAGATGGGCAGGGTTTGGAGTGGGCACTGGAGTCAGGAGGTGCGCAGAATTTTGTTTAATCGAAAAATTACCCCACTGAACTCTTAACAAGCTTAACATATCTCCAGAGGGTAATGGGGAGTGTGACCTAAGAGGGTGAGGGAGGGTAGGAGGGGGAGGGGGCGACGGAGGAAAGACAGAGAGCTGGAAAGGGGGCAAGAAGGGAAGGGGGGGTATTTTTTTAAGAAGGCAAAACAAAGCCAAGAGGGCAGAAAACAAAAATTGTAGTTGATTGCTGAACTCTTCTCCCATTTAGTGTTTGGATGAAACAGGGCATGAGCACTGTGTGTGTGTGTGTGTGTGTGTGTGTGTGTGTGTGTGTGTGTGTGTGTGTGTCTTTTCCCATCCTACTCTAAGACTGAGAGAAAACTCATTTTTCTAAGTTTGAAGACTTAGGGACTCAAGAATCCACCCCTGTCACACTATATGATACAACATAATGTATAATATTTTGTATCTGTCACTGTGCTGGGTTTTTTTTTTTCTGTTTTCAGTCAAATAGTGGGCACCCTAGAGATGAAGATGGGTCAAACCCGTGGACTTGGGGTGTGGGCTGGAAGAGGCCTTCATGAAGGGGAAGGTGGCCGAGGGAGAGTTGCTGGGGCCTATGATGACCCTTCTGTCTCAATGTTGCTCTCTTACAGGGAGGAGCTGGCCATGAGACTGGACCTGACTGAGGCTCGAGTCCAGGTGAGCGCCAAGAAGGGAAGAAAGAGGGCTGGGGTGGGGTTGGGGGTGGCCCTCCAGATAAAAAGAAGAGGATCCAAATCCGAAAGGTAGATCCAAGCACTCACACACAAAAACGACATTTCAAAAGCAGGCTGCAAACTGACAAGTCGGAGGGGAAGTTTTCTCAGTTTGGGAGCTCAAAGTAGTCCAGTATCAAAACATGGGTTTCCTAGTCCCTGAGCCTGCAATTCAGCAGCCCCCCACCCAAACCTGGTACCCAAGGCCCCTATAGAAAAAACAATCCACCAGCAGACTTCTCCTGATTGAAATAATGGGATGGAGCATGGATTTGGTTGTTAGACAAATCCGCTCAGCTCCAAGCAGGTATTTGGCTGCGATTAAGTCTCCAATCGGGCTTCATAAAAGCCCACTTAGTGCTAGAACAAACAGGGCCATTTGAAGGCAAAATGCTGTTTGATTTCCCCTCCGCCCTGCACAAGGAGCTAGCTAATGCTATTTGATTTCCCATTTTTTATAGCAATGAGCCCACATTGATCTAATAGGGAGTGAGTGCAATGCTATTAAAGGTGTTTGCAGCCCCATACCAGAGTGCATTTCCGAACCCAGGCCTCATAACCAAAGAGACGATCAACACTGGGCAGCCCCGATGGCCAACAGAAAACAGATGTCCCCGGGTTAGGAGCTGAGTGAATCACTTTACAGTCAAAATCAAGCGCTGATAAAGCACAATAAATTCCATATGGCTCATTTAATACACAACAGCTTCTTGCATTAGAGGGCTAATGATGCGGCTTGTCCCCTCCTTTCTGTTGACACATTTCTCCATTGTCAAACAGAGATGTGACAGCAACTCCACATTTTCAGCTCAGGGGAACAAGTCGTGGGAAAGTTAAATAACTTTTTAAAAGAAAGAGAGTGCCCCTCCCCTTCTCCTCTCCCCACTATTCACTGGAGAAGATGTAATTAAGTGAATATGAATTATCAGAGTCCTTTCGTTTACCTTTGGGGGCCTCAGAGGTATTAATTCAATAATGAGGAATTGCAGGGGACATCTTGATAATTGCAGTTGAGCCAGAGAGCCCAAGAGACAGCCGATCTCTCTTTAGAAAGGATTCCATGTTATTTAAGGCCTCTCTGCCCCCACTTCCCCTTCCTTTATTCCTTTCCCTACGATCAAGGAATGGTGGATATTCTTGTCTAGACGGTTGAATGTGAGAAAACTGCCCGCCCAGCCTAATCTAACTACATACAGTCTAACTTTGTCAAGCTGGTGAGTCTTCAAGTTAGAGCATTTCTACAATGCCCATATGGATTATTTGAAGGCTGCCAAATGTTATGGCCCCCTTCCCCCAGAACCTTAAGTAATCAGTCAGTTTGGATTCTTGATTTTTTTTTTCTTGTCCTGGATGACTGGCTAGAAGTCCAACCAAGCTTAGCTGCTAATGTAACTCACCCCCAGCCAGGCTGGAAATTTGAAATATCTGAATGTGACAATTCACATTATACTTTGATATAATTCCGTATAGCCCTAGAGTTCATTCTTAATTTTTAGACTCCTGTGCAGTCACAAACTCAGCTCTAAAAATATTAATGCCTTCTGGGAAGAAGGAACATAGCTTCTGAGCTGTGGGAGTGATGAGCAGGTCACACAAAAATGATTTCATGCTTTGGGGGGATATTTTTAGATGATGGTGGCTGCCATGTTTTAGGTGAAGGTCTATGTTCAAAGTGCTTCTTATTAACAATTAGGAAAATACCTCAGGATGGAAACCTCCTCCAAGCCTGGAACTATCTTATTTAAAGAACCAAGTGAAAGCACATTCCCCCAGAAAAAAGGAAGGCCCTGTTTTCTTTGAAGATGGGGCAGCCTGTCCTTTGATTCCCTGTGTTTACGTGGTCCTGCATAAACCCTCCCAGTAGTCAGTGATGTCTCATCCAGAGCCCCCAAAGACAGCTTGTTTTGGACCCCCTTTCTCATTTTATGAACAATCAGGCCTCTAAAATGTACAGCTGCTTTTCACTTACTGGAAGCAGTTCCCTCCTCTCTTCCAACCCTATCCAAATTCTAGACCCTAGTACAGTGCACTTACTGCTCAGTAGCTATTTTATTTTTGCAAAAAAAAATAATAAATAAACGAGCTCCCTGCTTCGCTTTTTAATAGAGAGCAGACATTGCCTGGGCTCTTGGGTAAGCCTGAAATATGTGACAATCTCGAATGTGCAGAATGTGGTTCATGGCTTGATGCCTGCCTATGTCCAACACGACTATGTGTTTTCATGTGTTGCCTTTATGCATTCTTCATTGGAATCTTATAAGAAAAGTGTTTTGGCCCCATTTTACAGATTAGAAAACTGAGGTCCAGAGAGGTTTAAGTGACCTAAATAAAATCTTGCAGGAAAAAAGGGTCAGCCAGACAGGGCAACTTAGCTGTCCCCATGTTTTAACTTTCCTGACTCTTGGAAGCCCGGAATAGATAAGGCACCACTTTTAAGGGCTTTCTTGTCCAGTGGTTTCTGCTGAATTAAAAAGTCTGGGCTCCTTTTCACCCAGGGGGTAACAGAAGGCCAAGGTGCTTCAGGAACAATGAAAGGAGGGGGAGAAGGCCCTGCGTGTTGAGGGAAGGAATGAGCCAGAGCTAAACCATCCAGGCCTCTCACCATTTTGCAGGTGTGGTTCCAGAACCGTCGAGCCAAGTGGCGCAAGCGAGAGAAGGCTGGCGCGCAGACCCATCCCCCGGGGCTGCCCTTTCCCGGGCCTCTCTCGGCCACACACCCCCTCAGCCCCTACCTGGATGCCAGCCCCTTTCCACCGCACCACCCTGCGCTTGACTCGGCCTGGACCGCTGCGGCTGCAGCGGCTGCGGCCGCCTTCCCGAGCCTACCTCCGCCTCCTGGCTCGGCCAGCCTGCCGCCTAGCGGGGCGCCGCTGGGCCTGAGCACTTTTCTAGGAGCAGCGGTGTTCCGGCACCCGGCCTTCATCAGCCCAGCGTTTGGCAGGTAACTGCAGCCTTAAAGAGGCTCTGTCCGTCTGTCTGTCCGTTTTTCTTCTACACAAGCAGATGCTGAGATCAGAGAGGAGGCAGGAGGGGATTATACACATCTTCCTCCTCCCCCCCTCCCCGCAACCTCAGCGACTTTAATCAAACAAAATACCCTCTAATTTCGACTTTAAAAAGAAAAGGAGGTCCTGAAGAGAATGAGTTAGGAGTAAGTAGGAAAGGGGAAGGCAATGGACAGCAACAACTGTGACAACCGGAAGTGTTCATGATAGCTGTCTGTACAAAAGTATGGTTTGAAGGTGCCCCTCCGCTATGGGCAGTTTGAGTGACCAGGCAGAGACTATAGAGCTGGGAGGGCTTTGAAGTCTTGCAAAAGTGTTTCTGCATGCCACAGAGCCTGGCAGCGTGAGGGACACACTTGGGGTCCCCTGCAGGAGCCCAGGAGCCAGGAGGCCCTTCAAGTGCACTGAACTGTTTCTTCTCTTCCCAGACTTTATGTTCCTCATCACTTATATGACCTGATGCCAGCAGTAACCCCATACGTGCAGACCCTGACCCTGACAGCAGTACGAGACCAGGAAATATATGGGCCACCTCATCGCATATAACTCCCTTTCTTTAAGTGAACCTTGATGAAATAAAACAATCTGTATAATCACACAGACAAAGAAACAAAGGAGGGGTGTATTAAGTTGGAAAGTGCAGTGAAAATAAAATTGAATGCAGCTTCAATGATCTCTCTTTGGGAGAACAAAGAAATAATAGATTCACCCAACTGCGCAGCTACTTAACAAAAAAAAAAATTATCCTCGAGAAAATTGAAAGTAGGACTTGAGGCAAAAATTAATGTACTAAACCACGAAAATATCTAGCGAGTGCCTTAAAGTGCACTTAAGTGGGGTGACTCAGTTTACCTAATGGAACCAGGGCACGTTACGCCCCCTCCAGGTCACCCATTATCCTTTCTTTCTGAAAAAAAAAAAAAAAGTCCTGTGTCTCCTTCCTGCTTTCCTCCCCTCCGACAACCCAAGTCTGTTAGTAAAACTAGGCGAACCCCCGAACCCCCGCTGAAACACCAGAGCTTCCGCGAGGTTGGAAGGCGTGGAAGGTGGGGTTGGCACGGTGAGTGAAGAGAGGACTGGAGAGCAGGAGCAGTGGCTGCAAGAGCCCAGGTGGGCTCATTTCTAATTGAGGAAATTCTGAATTGGCCCCTGGAGGGTCTGGAGCAGGAACCCTTGCGGGGGCCGAGGGATTGGAAAAATACGCCTGATGGCACGGGTGGAGGTGAGGCCCCGGGGCGCTCTAGCCTCAACCGCAGGTCAAGGACGTTTTGAGGAAGGATTGAGAGTAATCCCCGCGCGCAGAGTAATCCCAGTGCCACCCGGAGGCGGTGGCGCAGAAGCTGGCACTGTCCCAACTTAAGGCATTGGCTTGATTGGTGCAAGGGGCTCCCCAAGCCTGGGAACTATCTGGGGGAGGTGTCTGGGGCTCCAGGAAGGCGGTGAGGAAAGAGAGTCTAGGTGCGGGGCCGCGGCAAGTCCCAGCCGCTGCCTGTGGAGCCGAAATCAACAGGCGGCCGCCCAACATCCCACCCCTGGGCACCAGCAGTTTAGAAGCGCTCAGGAGGGTGGCTGGGCCAGCGCTAGCGGACCGGAAGACCAGCACTCACGGCCAGCTCTTCCTGGGCGAAAGGAGGCTCACACTCAGAAAGAGCCCCAGAGAGAGTTTGCAGCATGGGTCTAGGGTAGTTTCTAGCCTACTTTCTGCACCCCTCCCCCATTATGTTTTTCCTTCTCTCTCTCTCTCTCTCTCTCTCTCTCTCTCTCTCTCTCTCTCTCTCTTTGTTTTTTGTTTTGTTTTGTTTTGTTTCCCTCGCATTTGTCTGTCTGGTCGCCCACCACTTGCTTTCCCACCAACAGCATTCACTCCAGGAGCTGATCTCGGAACACAGGCTTTCTTAACTGAAAGCCCGAATCCACGCACTTGGGCCTCGTGATTTAAGATGCGGGGTCCTCCCTCTGAATTCGTCCTCCCCGGACGTGTCTGGTCCCTTGAACTTTGTTTTGCTGGTGGGTTCTCGGCTCGGGCAAAACCAGCAGCCTACGGCAGCTTCAACCCTGCCGGGTCCCAGCTCGAGCCCTACCAGGGGCCGGACTCCCCCAGCTGCTCCGCGCCCTCTACCCTGGCCACACGGGTGAGGGGTGGCAGGACTCGCTGCCCCGGGAGCCGCGCTCAGTTCACGAGGCCGTGACCGCGCTGTTTGCTCTCCCCACAGGCTCTTTTCCACCATGGCCCCCCTGACCAGCGCGTCGACCGCGGCTGCGCTCCTGAGACAGCCCACACCCGCGGTGGAGGGCGCAGTGGCTTCGGGCGCGCTGGCCGACCCGGCCACCGCCGCCGCAGACAGACGCGCGTCCAGCATAGCGGCGCTGAGGCTGAAGGCCAAGGAGCACGCCGCGCAGCTCACGCAGCTCAACATCCTGCCGGGCACCAGCACGGGCAAGGAGGTGTGCTAAAGGCTACCCTCCACCCTCGCGCCCCCCTGGGCGCGCCCCGAAAGGTCACCTCACTCAGCATCACTCAAGACCAAATGGAAACAGAGGACCAGCACACTCCCAAGATGGCACAGACAGAGCGCAGCCGCCTTCGCAGCAGCTTGGATGCGGACAAGGCAGCTCTTGGCGCTAAAGGACGTGACACCTCTTCCGCTGGCTGTCCACCTGCCCCTGCCCCCGCCCCTGCCCCTACCCCTGCCACTGCCACCGTTGCTCCAAGTCGAACGTCCACTCTCCCATTCTTACCTTACTGAAATTAACGGGGAAGGTTTCTCCCCAAGATGCCTACTATTGAAGTTTAAAAAATTAAAAGCCCAACCTTCTCTTCCTCCGTAGCTTTTCTTTTGAATAGCATTTTGGCGCTCTAAGTTGATTTCAGCGCAGGCCCGGCTAGACGCCAGGGCAAGGGAAGCAAATGCGTATCTGTAAGATAGCTAACAGTGCACTTAAAGGAAAGGGGCGTCTCGTTCTTGTTCTCTTCTTTATCATACACCAACCAAGGTTTTTATATCAAACCAAAGGGAAATACTCTGCTAGAATATGGACTGTTGAAGTCACCAAACTGTGATTATTGATTCTGTACATACCATTGTTATTAAAAAAAAAAAAGAACAGAGCTTTGTATATTTGAAATGTTATAACGCAATTGCACTCAGCGTGGTATGGTAAAAGTTTGTCCTCCTGTAGATTCTTACTGTGTTGTAGATACGGTAGGGTTCTAGACAAATATTTATGTACTCAAGCCCTTTATTTAACTTATTAACGGTAGAGGCTTCGGAAACCTTCAAGATAAAGGCAATGGTACAGTACTTTTGTGTAATGTGTAATTGTTATCACTTTTCCTTGCTATCTAGTGGAGAAGTGTCACGCTCAAAATAAAAAAAAAATATATGTTTAACAAAAGGAAGTGTGAATGCGCTATGGAGACCCTGAGGGGACAGTACAAGCCCCTATCCCCCACTGAGACCAAGAGTAGTCTCTGCTGCTGTAGCAGCTCTTGAATTTATATGCACGTGCATCTTCCAGGCAGAGGCCCCTGGTTTGAAAGTGATACTCAAAAGGATATCACAGTAGTGCTTTCCAAGAGCATCACCGAGTTCTGTCGCAATTGGTGCTGAGAATCCGGGGCCAGGGAGATTGTAGGGTGGGTCCCACGGTAGGTGGGTGTATAGTAGCTGTTGCTGACAACCACGAAAAGAGAAATTTGGAATTTGGAGCAAGCGGAATCTTGGTTGGAAGGCAGAGGAAGCTGTTCGTGGAAAGTGCCACGTAGCAAGGAAGTGCGCAGTCCAATATGACAGGTAGTGGCTAGAGCAAGAAGCGGAGGCGCTGGCTTCTGAGGGGGCGGGCTTGGTGGAACACTAGTAGGGAGGGGGGAAGGAGGGAGTAGAGAGAGAG